TTCATGGCTGCTGAAGTTGTAGTTGGGTGTTCCAAAAGACGGGTACTTTATGAAGCCAGAAGCATAAATATAAAGACAATTCAGACCTCGCAATAATGGTCTGTTCCCTGTTATGCCAAAATGAAAAAAAGAAAAAACAACCCTCATCATAACTTATTAAAGAAAGCTATGTATTTTTGCTGTATGATACAGTGGAGCTCAACATAATGAATCACCAGTTCAAATGAAAGAAGAGGCAGATTCAATATGTGCAAGAATCTCATTTTTATAGAATGCCTGGGGTGGTCTAAGTGTCTAAAAATGTGTGTAATGGAAACAGGCTTAGCCTAGATTTCCCACAAAGATTTGTACTTATGTTTCACCTGGCATGATTTGTTGCAGCTAATCTTACCACCTTGCCTAATAAGTGTGCCGTGAAAACCTGTTATTCAATTCTGGTACTGGCTTTGCTTTTCTAGTGTTTTATTTAACCACTAGATTTGCAGGACAAAGTCAAAGGGCAGATGCAAAATGGAAAGGCACAGAAGCATCTAAGTGCCATAAATTTACTTGGTAAAGCCAATAGTTGATGCTATGTTTGAGAAGTGCATATGAGATGGTGCTTTTGATCATCTTACTGGAAGCAGTTGTTGTGCTGTGCATTTGCTGTCATGATTCACAAATTGTCCTGAAAAATCCTTTAACATTAACCAGCTCAAAGGCAACTTTGTCCTTGTTTGGCTCTGAGCTTTTTACTGGGGAGGAGGGAGGCATGGCAACGTTAAGAGACTGCTGTGATGTTTTAGAATTGTAGAGGACTGTAGCTGTGTTTTCATCATGGTATTTAGGTCTTAAGCACAAAAGGCTATTTATTTTCCAAGAAGTCTATGAATTTTGGTAATACACATTTAGATTTTATCCCTATTTTTTAGATCTGATCCAATCCCAACATTTTTATTTAAAAAATAAAAAGCCAGCGATCTCTATCAAATAAAGTAATACTACAGTGTTTCAAATCTTTTCATGCCAAACAAATCATAGTTTTATATCTTTTATAATACAAGCAAACATTTCCAGTCATTACTCATGGACCATTTATGAAATACTTGGGGGTGGGTGGCAGCAGAGGTGATGTGACGGTGACTGGCAGTGTTCTCCCTGGCGCTGGGGGTGTGTTACGGGAGAGGGACACTCAGTGTCTGGTATTACATGGTTGTGTGTCTTTGTAAGCCAAAGATGAGATTCCCCACTTGCATGTGGAAATTTGCACACTGCTTCCCGGGTAGAAAGCTTTTGGCAAATAAACTGTCTAGCTTGGAGATCTTTGTCTGAATTTACTGTAGTATGGAGATGTTCTGGCTCAGCTCATATGGTTTCATTAGGGTTGGTTAGTACAGACTCCCTGCGTACCCTGTCTCGTGTAGGGAGGAGAGATATATCAAAATGTGCGTTTTATCAACATACTGGATAAGTATGCCAGCTTCTTGACAAAAATAGGATGCCTTCTGAGTATGTCCACCAGAACTCACTGTATCTGTAAAACAAGAAATACTGTGAAGATTCATTCCTTACTCAGAACACATGCGAAACAAGAAAAAAAACCCTTTAAATTAAGATTTTCTTCTGGGGATGCACATTTTTTACTAAGCTAGAATGATAAAAGGACATATTGCTATTATTAAAGAAAAAAGAAAACTAAAACTGTTTTCAGTAGTGATAGTAGTTTGAGATTTGTTTTTATTTTCAGGAAGACTTTTATGGAAATAACCTTGATTTTATTAGCTTGTGTTCTATTTTATACCACAATCAGAAAGAATAATTGCATCTAATATGGAGAGCTGAAAAATTAACAGAGTTAATAGTCTTAAAGATAAGATAGGAATGCTTTCTGTATGTGATTGTGAGGTCATCAGATTTAAAGAAAAAACCCAACAAAACCACATGAACAAACCCGTTATTGTGTAGCTTTCTCTTTCTTCACAATAACTGCAAAATTTATTTTGAAAAATCATTTCTCGCTCAAGTTTACAGTATCACTTATCTCAAAGGAGTGTTTCACAGTTTGACTAATTATACAATTTTAAAACTTCTGCTTACCTAAGGGTAATATTTCTTAGCTGTCGTGGTGGATGACTTGACTTAGAATTTGAAAGAACATCTCATACTACAACCTGCAAGGTCATTCAGAATTTGAAAAACGGTGCAGCTGTCCAATATGAGGAGAAATCTGCTGTGTGGGGGTCTGAATACTAGTGAACATTATAAAGTTTGGACTGATGTAGGACCAAAAGCTGTTCATCATTAGCTTCTTTCCTCAGCTGCTCTAATTGCAGGACTGCATTTGGATCCACCTAAGGCAGAAAGAAAACATATTAATATTTTACAGTAGTCACTTAGTATACATTAATTGTTCATGATCTACTTCATGATGCCAGAAATTCCCCAGAAAGCAGATTTTTATGAATGAAAGATTTGACTGTAAGAAGTTTCCTTAGCAAAACATGAAAAAAATAGTATAAAGAATGTCTTTCCTATAGTGTACATTTTTCCATATTAAAAAATCAATTGAAATGTGTTTTTATATGACAGAAGTATGAAGGGTCAATTCATTCCCTCTCTTTAGTAGTCACTGAGGGGCCTATTTTGGCAGCACTGAAGAAGTTCTGCTAACAGCAGAGGGAATAGCAGGATTTGATCATGTCATACATGATATCTTCCATCTTACATTCATCCCCTTATTTTAAATTTACTCACATGCCAGAATGTTTTCGGGACTGGAGTTTTGAAATAAAACTCAGCTTGTCTTAGATAGGTTTGTGTTTGTGCAAAATACAATTTTGGTATGAAAAAGCCAGAGGTTATTTATAGAAAATCTTACCAAAATGTATGCGCTAAGGAACAAAAGATAGTTCTAGTTAACATGTAAAGCTCTGTATATTATTTTAAGTAGCATAATTAGTGCAATGAATCATTTTTCATGTAACTAGTAACTAGTTTTGTAGCAAATACTGTACAAATACAACAAATTGTTGTAGCAAATACAACAAATTCTGCTACTGAAGAAACTTTTCAAACTGAGCCATCAGGTAGTATAAAATTATTCCATCTTGTGATGAAACCAGTGTGATTTCCTAAACGATTATGGGCTGTCAACAAATAGCTTTTCATCGATCTTAATTTAATATGCTTCTTTAAGAAAAAGAACAAAATATTAGCTATGGTTAAAGACAGTGGACCTTTGTACACTTCCAGTACTGTGAAATGATACTTTCTGAGTAGAATTTCTTCCAAGATTGTAGGCATGAAATTTTCTAACTTTTCAGTCATAAGCTTAAATATCTTATAAAATTCCCATATATTATTTGTCTTCTGTAGTGTATAGGAAGTATACAGTGGTTGTTAATAAACATGCTATTTATATGAAGGCAGAACATTATAGATTTGCCCTTTTTTAGGTAGTAAATTTTGCAGTTTTTTGATATCTTATTGAATATAATAATAGATGAGTGGTTTAAAGGAAAAGGAATAGCAGTAAGCTGAAAAGGACAGCCCCTGTGAAGACCTTCCAAAATCTCTGGAGAATTTGCACAAGCAGTAACAGCATCGTAAATGCTCTTCAGTTTGGGGGTAGCTCAGTGACTTACGCAAGAATCCTGTTGTCATAATTATGTCACTGGACTTCACTGCAGTCAGGAGAACTGGCCTGAGACTGCATCTGTGTGTCCACAAGGAGACAGGATAATTTGTGCCTCTCAGGTAACCCTGGGGAATTGGAAATTAGAAGGATGAATTTCGAAAGGCTTTTTTTCTAGGTCTTTTCCTGTAAATTTTCCTTCTTCATTGGTAGCTTGTCTGTTATCAGTTGCTTTCCTTTTATTTTTTTAATCAAAGAGTTGTTTTATGGTGCCATTTTGCAGCTCCTTTTACTGAACAGCAACCGCAGGCACTCCTTCCATTCAAATAAGCATTTAAATGTTGTATATATCGTTACTGGCTCTTGTTAATTAAAAGTAAACCAGGCAGTTTTCCAACATATGTAATCTTTAATGTAACTTTTGTGCAGCAGTGTAAAGGGTAGTTTTCTGTATAGACTTTATTGAAACGTAATAACATTTGAAATTCTGCTATCCAACATTTAAAAGCACCTGATTAGCAAGTGAAATTCAGCTGTCTTGCACAGATTCAAGCAGCTTTACAGGGAGGGGTTTAGGTGGGTTTGTACAGGCCATGTGTACCAACTGATGAGCAGTGGCCCTACCCAGAAATTCTTCTTTTCAGAGAAGGTGAATAATGGTTTTTTCCCTGTGCATCTGGTGCTTGAAAACAACATGCTGCCATCGCATCTTGTATGAAGAAGGGTTAGAGCAGGAAGCAACCCTCTGAGAGCGTGCAAAGTCCACCGCCTAGGGCCATCGCAGCAGCACAGTGTGTGATGGAGGGGATCTACAAACTGGCCTTGCTGCAGAGCTTGTGTTGCTTGAGGCCTCGGTTAAGCTCTTTGCCGCTGTTAAAGAACGCCAACAGTTGTAAAAATGGGAGGTTTGGCAGCTGTCTTTTAAAATATGATGATGGATGTTTTGGGTATGAGGATAGTCTGTAATCATATCACACTTCCTTATTGTTCTGAAGAGAGAGAACAAAACAGCATATGAACGTACAGTCTCCTTACATAGAACAACCAGAGAGCTTTGTTTAGGACTGTTTATACCACACATTGACAACAAAACGGGTAGCAGGGCACAGGAGAGAGGAAACTTCCTGCACGTCCTTGGGTTCACTCAAGAACTGGAACTAGTACAACTCCTGATAAGGTTATTCCGTAAAGCATTCCAAGATTATCAGCAGGGTTGCACTGTATCATAAAAGAAAAAAACCAAACAGGTAGAATATAGCATGCAGAAGCAGTTTTCCAGCTCCTCCCATTGCAGCACGTAAGTGACACAGTTATAGTTAACTTTGGATTATCAACCACTGTGAAACAGAATGGGAAGGTTGTGCATTTGAGCAGCTTTTTCACTGGTTTTGCATTCAATGATGAGGCTCTCGGAACCAATGCTAGACATGGAAATGGCAAACTACAGTGAAGTTTTAGATCCGACGTATACGGCACTGGAGTTCGAAGCTATGCAGATTCTGTATAATGGCAATGGTGAGTTCTGCTCTGTGATGCAAAATCAAGCCAGTTAACAGAAAAAGTGAAGTTTCGTAATGCTACGAAGTTTTAGCTAAATGTCTTATTAATGGAGCATTTGGGGGTTGTTTAGAAACTACAAATCTGCTCTTTTACACTTCATCACTAACTCTAAGTTAATAACATTATAATTCTTTAACATTAAGGAAAATAAAAGAGAGGTTATATGTAATAAAGTAACTGAACTGTACTGTCACCAGTCAGTTAATCAAAGGAAGAAAATGGTGTATTCAGCAGTTGTTTTATTTACTGTAAGACAAATGAATAACTGGTATTGACAGTTTGGACATGAAAGTATATTTTGCATATAACATTCGGAAGGACAGGACAAAATTATCCAGAGGCTTGTGAAAAAAATTAGCTGCTGTTTCTTGATTCTTAGTTTCTAACTGTTGGACTAATATTTTATTTATTTAAATGTTAATCTAGCCTTTCTAGGTATGTGTATATATGAAATGGAGTGATTTTTTTAAAAAAATCATATCGGCTTTATAGACTAATGTTTAGCTGAGAAGAACTATTTGCATTTGGCTAATGTAACATTTTAACTTTAGGTGGAATTTTTAATGCAATAAATTTTGAGAAATTGTATCAATAAGTTATGCTTGAAATAAGAAGCACACCATTTTATTCTGCCATCATTGAGTACTGACCAAAAAAAAAAAGGGAAATCTCAGTCTATTAAAGTGAAAAAAAGTATCATGCAAATTATACTACTCTAAAATGGCTTTCCAAATCTTCTAATATACTTTAAAAATTGTTTTATTGTATCATAAAGTATAATTCATAGCTCTATTGTATTTTTAAAAGGCAGAACAAATATTTAATGATTTTCAGGAAAAATACTTAGCACCTGCATTTCCACATATCCCTGCCATATAGAACCTAAGTTAGTTTTTATTGTTGGGCTTGAAGTTTTATCTGAATTTCTGATGTTACTTTACAGCAAGCTTAGTAAACAGAAAGGTAGATTTGGTTATTGATTTAGGAAGAAAAAACAGACCTTTATGCCCTAAGTGATTTTGAAGATACCAACAATGATTATGTAACTTTTAGATGATTTCTCTGCTTTTTGTTCTAATATGGGTGATTTCATTGGTCATTTGTTTTTTGCTGAATAGCACCCTTTCAGATCTGTTAATGTTACATAAAACAGGAAAACAGATTAGGGAGATTATGCTGTGTTGGTGATAGAGCTAGTTAAATTATTCACTGTGATTAGTTTGATAATTATTAGTTATTAGGTGTAGCCTTTTTCTCTTTAGAGTTTGCTTTGAGTTTAGCCTAAGTACTTTCTTATAGAATTTATAAAAATATTGCCTTGTAGCTACAGTGCTAGTCTGGAACTGAAAGCTGCCTCTTATGAACCTTCCTATGTGTCTTTTCTAGCTGTGTAAATTAATCAGAAACATTCAGAGACGTTTAACAAGACACATTCAGGCAGATTATGCAGTTCTCTGGAAATCAAAGAATTTTGCAAACTCAGATCAATTTCCCAGACATTTTGTTTCAGAATAATACCAAAGAAAATAAGTGTATCCTTATATATATACAAAATTTATATTGCTATGAAATATTCCATCATTAAATTTAAATATTGTGGGTTTAATTATTCTACTGTATCACTGTGATGCAAAACTACAAAACTCCAAAAGAAATTTTTTTTATTTTTCTAGCTGAAGTAATTCTGTAACCCATTTTTAAAAATAATTTTCCAGTCATGACAGACTTAGTTTTAAAATAAAATCTTTACAGAACTGAATTTTTACTCTTAAGATTCCATTTTTAATCAGGTTTTAGTATAATTCCTATGAATTATGTCTCTGTAAAACAGAAAAAAGTATTGCTTCTTCTCACTTTGTCTAAAGAACTCTGTTTAATTTGTAAGCTTTTTGGGACACAATTAAAATTTTAAAATATATTTATGTAATACATTTTGGTTGGATCTAGTAGAATATGAATAAAAATACGTATCAATATTAACAGTTTTACTTTTCAACCTGTCCACTGTTCATGAACTCATGTACTTGACTTTTGAATGCATGTTTGAATAACTAATTAATGTGGCACTCTTTCCTCTCCCTGACTGAACAACTACAAATGTTTAGGGCATATTGCAAACAGCCTTCCTTTCACAAGACCAGAAGCATAACAGAAAAAGCTATTTTGCAATAATTTCTTTGGACATGTCTGTTAAACATTGTGACTCAAAGAAGAATAAATATGTCTGTTTTGATTTCAAGTTAATTTCTTCAGTATTGTTTACCATATTCAGTGACTAATTGTTAACCACATAGCTAATATTCTTTTGTGCAAGTAAAGTCTGCACCAATGTTCCTTTGGAAAATATGTTCAAGGAAATAACACTTAGATAGTCCTCTTAGCACGCATTTTTTTTTCATTAAGTATTGTGCAAAAACTGACTTGTCTTTTTTTTTTTTTTAATGTCACGTATGCAGTTGTATCTTTGTATGATAGGTGCCAGTTATTGCCAGCTCCTATGAGACTGATATAGGAGATCTTTGCCAGCTGACTAGGCAACATTGCTTTGTGCCAAAGTTCCTCTTCATGTTAGTAGGAATGTATATGTAATTATACACTTTAATTTTTAACCCCTTTCAGCTGGAAAGAGTTTAGAATAAAACTATTTGTTGTTGCAAACTTCATAAATTCTGTTAACATCTCTATGACTTTGAAAGTGTTCATCTGAATAAGAAACATGTAATCACATACGCCATGTTATATAAGTAGTAAGTGGCAATTAAAAGAGAAAAAGCCAGAAAAAGCCTCCATTTAAGTACAAATTGTTCAAGGGGTGTTGTTGAAAGTCTTGTCCATAACTACGTATGTTGTTCTTGCCTCTCCTCAGACAGTTCAGGAGAAGCTGTCAACATGAACGCTGCTGACAATGGGGTCAGTAGTCTCTGTGCAATTTGTGGAGACCGAGCGACCGGAAAACATTACGGTGCTTCCAGCTGTGATGGATGCAAGGGATTCTTTAGACGCAGTATACGGAAAAATCACGTCTATACATGCAGGTATTTCAAAAGTTCATCTAGTGGCACTAAATTAATGAATTTAAGCAAAAATTACATTCAGATCTTTTCAGACTTTTCACAACTATGTCAGGGTATTTTCAGCTTTTTCTTAAGGAATTCTAACCAGCATTTTTGATGAGCATGTGGTTCGTGATATATTCTTATGATTGGAAAAAATGTATTTTATTCAAGACTACTTGTTATTACACGTTCCAGATACTACATTCCAGATGTCTGTTGATATTGTTGATATCATTACACTACTCAAGAGCTGTTTCACTCTTTGATTTATGATTACAAAGGTTATCACCTGAAAAAAAAAAAGGCAATATAAAAGGGGTATTTCTTAACTATTTTCTAAAAATTCTTTTCAATTTTTTTTCTTATGAAGGCAGTTTCTGAATAGAAAGTCTAAGATTTATGAGTCTTATTTTAAGGCCTGTACAAGCACATCTGCACATCTTCCCACTTTGGGTGACGCACTGCTCTTTTGAGTGACCATTTTCCCCCCGTCAGTCTGAATGGCCATCTGCTAATTTCCGGATGTCTGGCTGCCCAGGTTATCACACTGCAGGTCTCTGCACCGTGTTTGACAAATTGCTCTGTGCATGCACAAGTATATAAAATGTCAGCTTTAAGCAATGCACAGAATATATGGAAACCTCTGTGATCTTAGACAAATCACTAAAGGAGAAAACTTTTTTGTAAGAATGGCTTGTTACTGGAAATGCTTGCTATGATCGTCCTTGGTTGCTTAATACTCTTATAAGGAAATCTCTCCCTTATAGACATACCACAGTGATATAGCACAGACATACCCATAAGTGGTGTGACACGAATTGATATAAGTGATTTCAAGAAGAGGTCTGCAAAACATAGATCTATTAATCTAACACATGCGCAGCAAAAAGGCAGAAGCAAACAGGGAGAGTGGGGAATGGCTCATACATTCCCCTTAGGCACCCCGATAGATGTGCATGAGAGCTTGGGTAAGCCTTCTTTTAGTGTCACAGTCTGTGTGTTTCCTCATGTCTTTATTTCATTGTGTTGTTAGAAAATTTCCCTCCCATTTCCTGCTTGTCATCTGTAATGGTACAGCATGTAGCTTGTTCATTGCTATCTCCCAGAAGGAGTAAACTTGGCCAGTCAAGGGTATTGGTTGTGCAGCTAAGGGCTGCTCCCTGCCAGTGACAGTTGGCATTTTCCTCGATTGTCCTTTCCTTTCTCTATTTGTAGCTTTTCTTCTTTTTTTCCCCCACTGCCACCTGATGCAGCCAGTTACTGACATACCTCACAAATAAACCGAGGTGTAAATGATGCACATAACACCGGAATTTTCCACACTTGCCCATTCGAATGCATATATGTGTCCGTACACACACGTATATTCCTGCAAAACAAGCAGGTGTGAAACACCTCTCAAGACTGATTAATTAAAAAAAAAGTCAAAACAACAGAAGAAACCCGGTGGTCATAGACATTATTCTGACAGGCTAGATTAGCTGGTTTTCTTTTTTGTAATCAGGGTGCTGCTTTATTAGTGCTTTATACATTTACCTTTTCTTGTCTCTGATAGATTCAACCGGCAATGTGTTGTTGACAAGGACAAAAGGAACCAATGCAGATATTGTCGTTTAAAAAAGTGTTTTCGAGCAGGAATGAAAAAAGAAGGTAATGGAGTAATTTATTATTTGATATACAGAGAGAAATAATCTGAATTATTTTTAAAATATAATAAAAATGGTAAAAAACTCCAGCAGAATAATTCAGTGGAAAGTCTGCTATAATGCCTTCATGATGGAGAAGTGCTTTTATATTGAGGTGAAATATGCATCATCTAATTTTTAGGTGGGTAAGCAGTTCTAAGACTTGGAGCATTAGCAAATCTGTGGGCTTAAAGTGAATTTGCAACTGTTTAATCCATGAATCCTGGCACCAAAATTCATTGATTTCTAAGTGTTGATCGATATCCTGGAAGAGTTCAAAGTGTGAGATTTTAATTTTAATTTTTACCAAATTTGAGTCATAAAATCTCTTATCTGGGACTTTGTTTCTACCCTGTCTAAGTAATGACAGTGACAATTTACTGGTACTTCCCTTAAATTTAAATGTTTGAAGCATTTAAGCCAGAGGAGGGAGTGTGAAGTTGAACAAAATAGTGGCAGGAACAGTAGTGGTAGCTCTCAGTGGAGTGTCCACATTATAAAAAAAATTCTAATCTCATTAGGGCTTAATATGGGAAGATTGTTACTTAGACATCTGACAGACCTGAAGGAACATGGGTGTCACAATGATCCTTCTGTCAAAGCGGAAGGACCAGACAACCACAGGGGCAGAGCGATAGGGAAAGAAAGGCAGTGGGAATATCAGAGGATTTTTGTATCGGGTTGTTGGGGCTGTTGCTTCACTGGCAGTTACGATGTAGAGGCAAAAGGCATCCTGATGTGGTTCAAATAAGCACTCAGAAATGGTTCATCACAAACTTTGCTGCCTGTTTTGTTTGGAGCATGGTGTATCTGCCTGAAGGCCAGTCTGCAATATGATGTGTGCAGTTCTCCTGTGCTGTAACTTTCCTAAGATAAAGGAAGCTGTTTCTTTATGCTCTTATATATCTATACTATAGTACTGCTTTGCAAGTGATCAGGTTTTGGTATGAGGTATGATTTTCTCCGTGCAGCTGGATGGGGATATTCTAAACAGTGTTACACTGTGTATGTATGAAATCGGTTTGCTAATTCTTGCGGATCTCCTTGAACACAGTTTAGCCTTTTGGAATTTGAGCCATTAAAATCAGTAACATATGGTATATGTATTATCAATCTGATGTGAAGAAAAGGGAAGACCCGTGTGTCCACAGCAGCCCTAAAAGTTTTGCAAAAGGCAGAGCTTCACAGACTTTCAAAACCTGGAATTAAAGAATAGTTTAGCTCAGAAGGGACATCTGGAAGTCATTGACTCCAGGCCCCCATTTAAAGCAAGGCTAACTTCTAGGTTCAGTCAGGTTGCTTGGGACCCTGTCCAGCCAGGTTTATACAGTCCCTGAGAGGGGAGATTCCACAACCTCTCTCAGCAACTTCTTCCAGTGCTTGACCACCCTCATTGGGAAGAGTTTTTTCCTTATAACTAATTGGAATGTGTCTTACTGCAGTTAGGGTAGTGTCCATTGCCTCTTGGCCTTTCACTGTGCATCTGAGAAGAATCTGGCTCCATTTTCTGTGAACTACAGAAATGAAGACCTCCACCTCCACCTTGGTCATCTCTTTTCCACGTAAACAAAGATGCCTCTCTCTGCTTCACCTTGTGCGTCTTGTGGGTTACATCTCCACAGCCCTCCGCTGGACACTGCCCAGTTTTCCAGCATCTTCCATGCACTGAGGAGCCCCAGATGGACAAATACTTACTTCCCTCAAGATTCTAATGCAACCCAGTGCATGCCTAGCTGATATCACCATGAGGCACGCTGCTGACTCATGTTTATGAAGTGAAGATATATCCTGCAAGGAAGTTTTAACCTAATTTACACCACTGTGCCTCCTCTGATCCCACTACCTATAAAACTTTGATTTTTCATTGTGTCCGAGCCATGTTTATTCAAGGCTTCCCTGTGCTAAAATAATTCAAAACACTGAACTGTACATTTCACTGCTTGTGTGTTGTTATATGCCTCTCTACACCGTCAGGGGATGTCTCATAGCGTAAGTGTAACATAGTCTATATGATAGTTTCTCAGCTTGTTTCTAGCAAATCATTTTCTTTTCTTTAGGGTGAAGGTGAGAAAGGCTTCAGATGGTAAAACCTATACAAGCCCTCTTTGAGCAACTATTCCCCCTTTCTCATAGAGTCCTGTTTAAGGCAATTTTAGCCTGAGCTGACAAAAAGGGTTTAGCAAGACAGACAATCCAGTCTAATAATCCAAAATTATGCATACGCAGGAGAAAATTAAAGCATTTCCCTATGATTCTCAAAGTGGACCACCAGTGACTTTCACTAGCAATTGTCAGAATAGCTTAATATTTTTCTAATACTAATCAGCACTGACCTTATTTTAATTATCTATGTAGCTCTTAAGCTGCTGAGATTCAGTGGGTTTTTCTCCATTCTTTTAAAAAAGGTTATATTTTTTGTTTTCTGTCTACATGAACATTTACCACTTTGTGTTTATCACTGCACAACATTTCTTACTGTGACCTTAATAAAAGGCCCTTCAGTGGGTGTCCTTGGCAAAAAGTTAGTACACCTCTGGAATAAGCTATGTGCATTGTTCAGATAAACCCTGAAAACTATTCAGTGTATAGAATATTTTATTTTTTTTATTGAAGTCTTTGGTACTACTCCTGAATTCTGTAATGCAGATTGTTTCCCACAAAATAGCAAACATATCTTTGGAAATAAAGCTGCTGCTCTTAAAAGATGATGAGATTCCTTGTGCAATATAAAGATTTTGATCAGCACAATTCTTTTTTTTTTTTCTTTTCTCCTTGGCCTAACCTTGGACATGATCTAGATTTTAGAAAAATCTGATTGATAGTTTTATTTTTTCTTCTTCCTTCAATTCCAAAGTAAGCCTTCTTGCTTTGTAAGACTTACATGTGCTGATTAAGGATTCCTTATCCAAAGCCCTTTCAACTGCCTTCTTTTGGACCCCATGAGACAAAACTTACTGGCCTGAAACATTTTTCCTGTTTTTTGTTTGTTTTGTTTTTGTTTTTTTTTTAACTTAGTTAATGTTCTGTAAACTGGCTAGGAGTGCAGTGTCACTGAGAAGGAGCAAAAGATTTAAGTTTCAAAATTATCTTACTAGTGGATTAAGTTCGTGATTCGTTCCTGTTCCAGGGTTTCTCACAGGAGAGCAGGAGTAGGGCTTTCAGACTTCCTCTGACAGACATTTTGTCAGTGGTGGTGCTGTACCTCTTGACCTGTTCAACAGTCTGGAGATGTCCATTTCTACCACTATCATAAAGCCTCACTTATTAAATTGGTTAAAATAACAAAACGACAGCATTCAAGTGTTCAAGTTCAAGTTCAAAGGAGGAAAGAGGTTTTACTGTAATAAAGCCAGTCACAAAAATGCTGATAATTCAGTATCTATCTACAAGCAGTTATATATAGTTTTTACAGACAAATAGCATACAGATAAAGACCATAAACATGTATTGTCATCCTTCCTCATTACTCAGAGCTAAAGGCACAGGGTCTTTTTTAAGCGTCATACCTTTTGATTCTTATAGTTATCTAGTAAACTTCTGAAATGATATTGTGTGGCAATGTCTACAAGTCAATAAATGAGATGATTATTGTTTTCCAGCTGTACAAAATGAACGGGACAGGATAAGTACAAGAAGAAACGCTTTTGATGGCTGCAACATTCCCTCTATTAGCACGTTGTCACAAGCTGAGGCACTCTCCCGTCAGGTACTGAGATCTACCACAAATTTATTTGATGGCTTTAAGACTATTTTTTCTAAAGTTAAATACTTTTCAGTTTCTTACTGTATTAAATAGAGTTATTGAGATTACTTTTTTCTACTTCCGAAATGCACCCAGCTTCCTCTTCCCAATGAAAGAACCAGTAATAGAATACATTCTTAAAGCAAAGTCAGTAAAAAAAATTCTACTTTGTCCAGGACAATATGTCCTAGGCACCTTTCTTAATAAAGCTTTATGGTTCTTACTGCTTTTAAATCAGTTGCTGTCTCAGGCAGCTGGTGGCATCTATCTATCCTTGAGGCCGGCTCTCCCATGAAACATTAGGGAAAAAATTGTCCAAAGCCATTACATGCAAAGGGGTGTGGACACTCATTTCCTTACATTCTTTTGAAAATCCCATTTTTAATATCCTTAGACATTATAAATAAGGCAAACAGAAGTGTTCCAACTGCAGAGTCTATTCACATCTCGCTTTTAAATTTTCTTTGTCTCATCTGAACTTCATTTTCTTTTTTTTTTTTTTTTTCCCTATCCAATCAATTGCTGAATGGAACAGTCTCCAGTCCTTTTCTGCACCTCAGATAAATCATGGTCATTGATTCTGCATTCTTGCACCTCTTACTAACTTACTTAGAATTTAACTGCCACCTTTATGATTTCATGCTGACTGATTTATACATCCCCAAATGTTTTGTAATCTCATCCTTTATCAGCATCTCTCTTAGGGTGGAACTGTCCGTAAAGAATTGATGCAGGAATTACTGGGTGATAGTCTTTGGCACATATTGCATGTCTGTGCAGACTAGATGAACATAATGGACCTTCCTACCTTTCATACCTATACAGTATGAAAAATATACCTGTTTTTACCTCCTTAGAAATTCTTTGAACTTGCTTATTGTGCTTTTTTTGTGTTACTCCCTTAATCATTTCCAACTGGCATATGCAATTCAGGAATAAGAGCTGTCTTAAACAGAATCACATCCTCAGCCTTTCCTGCCACAAAGTTCTTTTCAGATGATAGGTTCCTGGCCTAAAAAATCACCTTGTGTATACACACAAATGTATTCTACTTATTATTTGGTATGTTGTAGTAGGAGAGAACTGCTCCCACTATGCCAAGCCGATATGAAGATACACTCTTGGCCTCAAAGACCAAGAGGTCACATAAACATGATGGAAAAGTAAAGTCTTAAAAGTCCTTGTTTCTCCCTCAATCGAATGGGTCTGTAAGATGAGTTCAGTCCTGAGGAGATACTTGGAGGAGGTGGCAGTGTCACAAATCATTGGCCAAGTCCTTCAGCTGTGAAATGAGGAAGAAGGTGTCATTCATCCCTTTTAAAATTTTCATACTAAAATAGGGAAAATGAATTATTTTTCCCTGAAGATCCCTTACAGGGGGAAATTGTCCAGGTACAGTTTTTGTCCTGCAGATGCAGGAGAGGCTTTCAGGATTATGTAAAAATGAAAGGGGCATGCTGGACTCTCATAGGAGTAAAGACATGTGTCTCTGATGGTTCTCAGGACAACAGGGATATAGTGCTATATTGTCATGTTTGTCAAGTCATTGATGGGTACAAGTTGCACTGGGAGAGGTTTCATCTCAATATAAGAAAGTGATTTTTTACAGTGAGAACAATCAATCACTGGAACAACCTTCCCAGTGACATGGTGGAGTCCCCATCACTGAAGGTTTTCAAGATGCGATTGGACAGGGTACTAGATAATCTTATCTAGGTTCCCTTTCCCACAAAATGTTGGATGAGATGATCTTTCGAGGTCCCTTTCAACCTGGGCTAGTCTATGATTCTATGAAGTCAGCGACTCCCGTGTTGCACCCCAGAAATGAGAAGCGGTTAAAGCAACAGAGAAATAGAAAGAGGAAAGTTCACAGCTTCCTATCCTTGTGAAGAGATGCAACCCTAGGAGTTCATAATGAACTCCATGGGGGTCATCCCATGAATCCCCAGCAGAAGGTTACCAAGTAATTTCAACACAGAGTCTATAGTTTGTCCAATAAGATGTAATTTATAAAGATGCATAGCTTTGATTAAAAGATATTAAAGGAAGGACAGTATGTTTAGTTCATGAGTCAGTAATTCTAATGGTTAAACGAGCTGTCTGTTCTTTACCTTCTTGAATTAACTTCTAGTTGGTGCATGGTGGTATCTTTTTCTGGTAGATCAGAGTGCCTCCTGCTATCAGAACTTTCTTCTTTCTGTAGGTATTTTCGAATCATGATCAAGACTCCTCTTACTCTTCTGGAAAAAATGAAATATTTTGAATTTCTTTTACTCTCTTTCTGTACTGAAGGTTTTCTAGCCTAAATCATTCCAGAAGCTCTCACCTGAATAACATTCAGTATTTTCAACTTGTTTTCCTAGAAGAAATGCCAGAAATGGACTCATGATTACAGCAGGGATTTCACAAATGCTCTGTCTACAAAGAGACAACAACTCTAACCTTTTTCCTACATGACAGCCTTTGAATTATGTGTCTGAGGATTTTATCACCTGCCTAGATCCTGTATTTCTCTGAGAGCTAATGTTCAGCTGGTTAGCTGCCGTTAATATCTAAGCTGTTTTCAGTGGTTTAGACTACTGAACTACGTAGGAAGCACTGAGCTTTAGCTCAGAAGTGTAACTCCTTTTGACTACCCAGGGGTAATGGGATTTCACTACAGATCCCACTGGGGGATTTAACATGGATCTGGGAATGAAGGGAATCTGGTAGGAGTCAACCTAAATAGCATCCACCATTCTGAAATTTGTAGGTACACAGTATTGGAAAAGCAAACAATGTTTGGGGTTTTTTTGTGGCAGGGGGGAGAGGTGGGGATGATAAACTACAGAATTTCCTGAGTGTGCTTTCTAATAAAATGAAAGGTGAAAGTCAGTTTTATAGGCCTTGTAGAGTGGTGGGGTGTTGTTGTTGTGGGATATTTTTATTTTTATTTTTCTTCTTCTTCTTTTTCTTTTTCTTTTTCTTTTTCTTTTTCTTTTTCTTTTTCTTTTTCTTTTTCTTCTTCTTTTTCTTCTTCTTTTGCTTTTGCTTTTGCTTTTGCTTTTGCTTTTGCTTTTCTTCTTTTTCTTCTTCTTCTTTTTCCTTCTTCTTTTTCCTTCTTCTTTTTCCTTCTTCTTTTTTTTTTTTCCCTGATATGATAGCAGCTATAAACTGACATTCTCTTCTCAGGCTTGGTTTTACCTTAAGTTGTCTTTCCTGCCTGGCTTAAGAGCAAGCCTGATTTTGTTCCTTTCCTTGAAAAGTCATTAAGAATTTCAGGATTTGGCTCAGTGATTATGTGAAAGTGCCCCAGCTTCAGGCCCAGAAAGATACTGCTCTCTTCTTATTTCACAGAACACTGTTCACTGCAGGTGGTCTAATGCACACTCATATCCTTTACATTTGCTCTGAAACATCTCAGGCCTCTGCCTATACTGCTGCTTCATCATTACGAACTATTCTGCTCCAGGCGCTAAAAAACCCCCGTTGTACTTTCTAAAGTTAATGATACTTATCTTTTCACTAGAAGAACATGCTACCCCTTTATGTCTTTCTTTCTTTGCCCTTAATGTTACTGCATGCCCCTATGAGCTTTTTTTTTTCTGAAGTGAAGGAAATGTCAACCATTTTAAAGGACTAAAAAAACATCACCTCCCCAAATAATAAGGGCTCTGGTATATTTAAAAGTAGTATTTTGGAATGAGAAAATATTGTATCATGAATAGCATAATTTTTAACATACTCTAATACACACTGGTAATAATGAGAAATAAAATTTTATAATTTATGGGCAGACTAATGGTCCGTATGGTAAAGGAATTTCTCAAGAGTATGCAAGAGTATTGCTGCAATTTTTTGTTAAATTTGTTGTTAACAAGTGAAAACGCAATTATATGAAAGTTAACATTGTTAATTTTTTCTCTCATTATGGCCAGATCTCAGTCTCCAGTCCTGGTGCTAGCACTGACATCAATGTTAAGAAAATTGCTGGTATTAGTGACGTCTGTGAATCTATGAAGCAACAACTTCTGGTCCTGGTAGAATGGGCTAAATATATTCCAGGCTTCTGTGAATTACCACTGGATGACCAGGTATAAGAGGAGACCAAAGAGAGAACTTTAATTACTGTCCTGTTATTTCTGTGATATTTAAATGTTGTGATTAAACACTTACTTTTTTGTCTGATCGAATAGAGCTGGGTGCTAGACCCACCATCTTAAAATTTTTAAAGTTTTGAAATAACACCACCACAAAAAAACCAGAGGAAATTGGTAAGGCTCTAGCATGTTAACAAAAAGAAGCAGCAAACCAGTATGTCTTTCAGTGTTTTGTGCTTTCTGTATTCTTTTGGAAGCAGAGATACCAAGCTGCATGCAAAAATGAAAAAAATCTTGTAAAAAAAGCCATGCTTTTTTCTGACCTTGCAAAGTATTTATTTTATGTTCACCTTTCATTATAATATGGTTTAAGACAGTGTGTTATTTAATTTGAAGCAGGTCTTCTCTACTTGCAAAAAATAAAAACCATTAGAATCTCAAACACATGCCAAACATACTGATATCAATCCATGGCAAATAATCTTTCATATAATACGATGTACTAACACTTTATTGTATATAATGAGTGTGGGGGAAGAAAAAGCATCAAACCTTGAAAATTCTTAAGGGTTTTTATTACAGAGGTCTGATCTATCATCATATCTATAATATATCCTAATATATCACTGGGTTTCAGAGTAAGTTGTGCTGGCACACTCAGAACCAGTGTCTCCGTGTTGTGGTACGCAGTTGTCTCACTGGCCACCTGGGCAGGAGGTTAATTCATGGCTCAGGATCTCTTGATCCCAATCCACCAAAATCTGATTCAGCTTGAAAATGACTCTTTGAAGTGGAATTGTGTAATTCCTCCTTTTTGCCTCTTCAAGCTCTCAGTTTTTAACAAAATCCTGCAAGGAGGGTTAGATCATCCTTGGGTTAGAGATTCAAACTGATCTCATTCCCTCTTTTAGTCTTCCTTAGGAGTATGGAGGTGTTCCAGGTCACAGGAGATCCCCCAAAACAGGAGCTTAATGATGTCTTTGCAGACCCACAGAATATGATATGTGTGCACAAACTCAACATACTGGAATAAGTTAAAAATCTGTTCGTGTGAAAGAAGGACAATTTTAAATGCATTGGTTACACAAGGGCAACAAAAGCAAGCAAAATATTGCTGTTTTTATTGTTAAGATGGCATGAAGGAAAAGAGAAGGGATCAGACCTCATTAAAAAGTTCCTGTCTTTATTTAAAAAAAAATAAAAATATATCAGCTTAGAAAGATAGGCTGAAAACACCCCTGCAGTGCTTGAAGAGTGCATGTTGGGAAATACTCCAGAACCTTAAGTACCTTAAAAGTGTAGTGACGAACGTATTGGGAGTTAAAACAAATGCCCCTTCTGCGTTTGTGATTGCCTCTTTCTAAGGGGCATTGTGCATTTAGTTATATAATAAACCATCTGGTTTTGAACAAATGATTCCTGATCTGGAAATCAGCTTGATTTACAAACCATAGAGCAGGCCGGAGCAGGTAAGTTAACCCTACTGAGAACCTGAAAAGTCTTAAGACACTTAAGTATTCCTAGGTGCTGTGTACCTTTACATCACTCATAAAGTATTGGCTTGGATTCGTAAGGAAAGAATTAACTTGCCAAGAGAGGAGTTCCTTGAGAAAATAGAGGCCAGTGCTGAAGTTTCAAGCAGACATTAAAAACAAAGGGAAGTAAACAGGCGACAAAAGAGCAAACTAATGACCGCATTTTTAAGTGCCTTACTGTTATGAATCAGGTTTCTTCTTTGTTGACAGTAATGCATATTTTAGCATATCTGGTTTTGTTGGGGAAAAAGCCAACATAAATGTTTAGTTCAAGGTGAGAAAAATGAAACACTGATAGTGCCAAATTTACTGTAACAGTTCATTCCAGCCCACCAGAGTCTTTAGTGTCATCTTAAAATTCCAGAGAAAACTTTGTTAAGGGGATAGGCACTCAGAAATAAATGCAAGTATTGTATTTATTGAGAAGTATTTTGCCGAGCCGTATGTTTAAAATCTAGACCAAATGCTAGAAGTGACAGAGGATGACGATTTAATTATAGTGTGCTGTTAGTACAGCATTAAGGTTTTTACATTCACTTTACATTTTACATTAGAATCTTAACAGTTGTAAACATGTACCTATAGCTGAGTACACTCACAGTAATATGCATCCTCATTTCTTTTGCCCTTAGTGGAACTTACTGCTTTATCTTCTAATCAGTTTGCTGTTTTTTTCTTGAGGTTGCCCTGCTAAGAGCACATGCTGGGGAACACCTGTTGCTTGGAGCAGCAAAACGGTCCATGGCATATAAGGACATTTTACTTTTAGGTAAATATTGGGTTTTTTTTAATTAATAATGAAGATGTTATAGTACATTAGCAACCATGTAATCACTTAAGTGGGACAACTGTTCTGGCACAATCAAAGCAATGCATTCTGTGAATGCTAAATAGCTATTAATGATAAAATGTCATGTGCCCTGTTCCAGCAAAAGCAGGTGGACAGTTTCCTGTGAGTTAATATGGCTAAAGGTTTATTGGATACCAGAAACCACAACTTAAGGGAGTTCCTGGCAAAATGTCTCCTTACATTAGCATCCTTTCTGCACCTTTGTCCCATAAAAAAAACAGAACAAAACAACAACAAAAAAAAACCCATAAAAAACCTTTGCTTGAAAGACGAGCAGCCAGCCTGTGGCCCAGGTACTAATTTCAGTCTTCACAAAAACCATTTGTCTGGAGCTTTCTCAGGAGCCCTTCAGATGTAGTCAGAGAAAACCCTACAGGCTCAAAAATTGGATAGCCTGTTCCCTGCAACTCGCTTTCCCAAGAGCCCTCTCACTGCTGCCTTGACAGTCGCCACGTGGCCATCATGTAAACAGCATGCCTGTCGTTCCCTGCCGTGTGCGAGGGGGGTGTGACCGTGGCACGGTGAGGAGCCTTGCCTGCACAAGCACGTTCTTGGTCACTTGAAATGGATCCTTCACTGGGTTATATGAGGAGAGCATGGCTGTTAGGGAAGGGGATGTCGTCGCGTGGTGGAAGCATGTCTTCCCTTCGTTCACACAACAGAGAGGTGCAATGATATGATGAGATGTGTGTCTGCGTGTATAGTGATGCGATGAGGTACTTGTCAGCATTGTTTGACACAGCACTCTGCGAGTCTGAAGTGCACCCTGCCAAAACCAGTCTCATTAAACGTGTGGAGCGCTTGGGCTGTTTTGTGAGAGTGTGTAGGTCTTCTTGCACAGGATTTTGTATGTGAGGCAAGACTAGGCGGAATATGGATTCAAACTAGTTTCTTCACTGGTGGTGGGGTACAAAGAGGTTTTCCGCTACTTGTTCTCCATCCACTTTGGGCCTGCCTTTTCATAGCTCTAAATCAGCTTGAGTTTATTTTTACACATATAATAACATTGAAAGGACCTGAAGGGCTTGTTCTGGAGGTATTACTCTCACCAGCAATCCTTGCAAGTTAAAAACTATACAAATTACTTTCTTAACCTAGTTCTTTATCTAGATATCTAGATTTACTGACAAAATTAACATAAATAAAAAGGAAATATTTGCAGTTTTATTGGGATTAGTGGGTAATAAGGAAACTAATGATAAAACAATAAGCAGAAAATTATAGTCACTATCACCAGCATCAGCATATATACCAAAAGAAGAAACTATTTGAGGCTCCCAGGCTTATTTGTGATACTTGGAGGTTGATATCTGTAAAGCTTATGAGTCATTTTGGCATGGATCTCTTGTGATATAATCATCAGCTTTTCTTTCAAAAACTGCTTGGTGGCTTCTGGAAGCTCTGTGGCTTTCCCAGTGTTCTCACCACTTATGTTAGATGATTTCTGGACAGAAGGTGAATTAAGATACCATGATGGAGACTTCTCCAAAATGGAAATTTAAAATTAAAAAAGCAGGAAAAATTAATTCTTTACTGAAAATTTTATGACGCTTCTAAATTTTATTAGGAGTAACAGAAGCATCTGTTAGAAAAAGAAGCATTCTTCGTGTCTCCTCTGGAAGAAGGCTTCTTTGTTGACAAATCCTGATCATTCAGCTTGAGATGTATTATTTTAATGGGGGAAGAAGAAATTTTAAGATCAATTTACCATTATATTTATCTACTATGTGAAGGTAAAGGCCTACTTGCTCCATACTTGTGCATTCAAATATGGACCTCAGTGCTGTGGACTTATCAATAACTGTACATGTTGGCATATTTACATGCACAGATTATTTACTGGGTGACAGCTATATTTTGCACATATACTTTGTTTGCAAAGAACAGTTTTGTATGACACAAAGGAGAGTTATTACTTTAAAAAAATTAATTTAAGCAAAATGAAATGTGCTTTTGAAAATAGGCTTCATCTAGTAAGTTACATCAAAGTCTTTATGTGAACCCACATATTGGTATTCTTTCTCTCTAAGGCAACAATTACATAATCCATCGCAACAGTACTGAAGTAGAGATCAGCCGAGTGGCAAATCGGATTCTAGATGAATTAGTTCGACCCTTCCAGGAAATTCAAATAGACGACAATGAGTATGCTTGCTTGAAAGCGATTGTGTTTTTTGATCCAGGTACCTTTTTGAAAATATCTCTCAGAATTATTTTACACGTGATTATTTTGAAAGTAATTTTTGTCAATGTAGCATCTGCTCATGTTATCTAGCTGGATGGAAAAAAACAAAATGAAAAAAAGTAAGATGCTCCTCCCAAATCGTAATCTGCCTTGACTTCATGTTTTTGTCATTTTTTAAGATGCAAAAGGCCTGAGTAATCCAATGAAGATTAAGAACATGCGATTCCAAGTCCAAATCAGTTTAGAGGATTATATTAATGACCGTCAGTATGACTCCCGAGGAAGATTTGGAGAACTTCTTCTTTTACTGCCTACACTCCAGAGCATCACTTGGCAAATGATTGAGCAAATACAATTGGTTAAACTATTTGGAATTGTTAAAATTGACAGTTTGCTTCAGGAAATGTTACTGGGAGGTAAGTTAACAACTTGTTAAATTTACCGTGTTGTATTATGTTGAATTTAGCGTACTGCAATGTTGAGGGAATCATGATGTAAGGAAGCACTTTGACCACGGCCTCGCTGGCTGAGCTTTGGGTGGTATGATTGTTAGCTAAAGCCTTCTTGTCTTGGCTGCTCATCTTGTTAACTCAGTCCTACAACCTCAGAACGTGCTGTGTACTTCTCAGTCATTGCTGGTATCTAGACATACAATCCCCTAGTCAGATGCAAGAATCCTTACAAGTATTTAATGAAATCCACTGTTAATGCAGTCAAAACAGTGAAAATAAACACAGTGATTAATATGGTTAAAGTCTGGTTAAATTGTTTAATGAATACCTAGAGGCAATTATTCAAATTGCCAATCAAAATATTTGCTCTGCGGAAATGTAATTATCAAAGTATAAGTCAATGGCAACAACATGCTCTTTTGAATGGATATATGCTTATGCTATTTTTGCAGGTACTTCTAATGATGCCAGTCATCTGCATCACCCAGTGCATCCTCACTTAGCCCAAGATCCATTAACTGGCCAAACTATCCTCATAAGTTCAATGTCTGCTCCTGTACATACAGAACAGATTTGTAAGTAATTGCAAGTTAGCCTTCTGTCATAACTTTTCACTGTTACATTTAAAAATATTAGTTAGAATGATAGCCTGTCAGTGCTTATAGAGTTATTTCATCAGCACTCTTAAATTAAAATAATTGTGCATTAAAAATGTATGTATATAAGCAGTGTTAAGTAAGAGACTTTGACCTGAATTTAATATAATTTTAAAAATTCAGCACCATTCTGATACATCGTTTTCACATGCATAATTTTTAATAAACTAAAAATTCTGATAACTAATATATCCTATTTTCCTAGCATGCCAAATGTAACAACTTCCTTTCAGCGCAGTAGTATGTATATGTGTATATAGAGTAGGCCAGTATATAAAAATACATAATTCTTTCTATATTCTTTTTCAGCAACTCCAGAAACTCCGTTACCTTCCCCTCCTCAAGGCTCTGGGCAAGAATACAAAATGTCTACAAATCAGGCTTCAGTCATTGCACAGCAGTCTATTTTGAAACAAAAACCATTGTGATAATGTTTCGGTCTCTGTCTTACTTCTCTGTCCTTCCTTCCTTGCTCCCTCCCTCCCTTCCTTCCTTCTTTCCTTCCTTCCTTCCTTCCTTTTTATGCACTAGATAAATTGGTAGGACACTTGCACATTTAAAATCTCAGGATGATAAAGGAAATTATTTCCTCAGCAGCCACTACTGTGGGTATTTCTTAAAACACCTAACAATTTGGAAGGTAATACTCACTGTTCTGACTGCTGCATACAACTGTAACTGTGGACACTGCAGTCTGACAAATATGTATAGAGGTTGATATTATTTTTAGATCTTGTAACTGCACAGATTCATTTTTTATTTCCTGTTTAGTTGTCGTCTTAGTATTATTGTTTTAGATGTGTATATAATTTTTTCATTGTGACGGAACTGGTTAGTGCTTGTTTAGCTGTGAACTGTAGACATGAAAAAATGGATTAATCACACAAAAGCCAAGATTCCATTAACAGTAAAACAGGAGGCCACCAAACAAAGCACATGCATTAAATAAAAAGGAGAAAATACTTAACGGACAGAAATACCCAACTCATTTTAAAAAATTCTTGCTTTGAAAGAACCGTGTATTTCAAGTAAAATTTCAACAAAAGAGTTGAATCCTCCCTGCTTACCTTTTTATATGAATCAGAGGGTCTGCCGTGGGCAAATATGTTTGAGGACTTTTAAAAATCTGTACACACAGTAATGTCTACATCAGTCAATTGGACAGTGCTGAGGCAAGGGTGCTAGCATTTATATTGCTAAATTGTTAGAACAAGGACTGGTATGCTTTTTGGTCAGGACTAACTAGTACTCTCCCAAACGATTTCTGGGCACACTTTGGGAATTAGGCTTGTCTAGGGACACTTTTCACCAGGTGCTTTGGATATGGCCACCTCTCCTCAGGGGCACAGAGAGTATAAATAGGAACATGGCCAGACCATGCCACTTGACCTCAGGGATGGAGTGTAGACTTTGTACTGTTTGATTTACCAGTGTAAATGTAGCCATTGTATTTATTTGCCTAACTGGCTGATGAATGCATGTTTCAGCAATCACTCTAAACTTCCTCTATATGTAGTAGCTCTGTGTCTGGAGAGGTATGGCTTACTAACTCAAGCGGCAAACATGCCTGAGTTCAGCTCCAGATGTTTCTGGTTTAAGTCATGGTATTTCAAGCTAGAAGACAGCCAGCACACCAAATACTTGTCCTCTGGATTTTTAAGAGTTTTCAGAACCTTGGGATGAATTGATTTACTGTGACAAGCCCCCTTCTCCTCCTCTTCCTCCCCTTCCAGTCTGGAGGGATCCAACATTCACTAAGTTTTGTGTCTGGAGTCTATAATAACCCATCTGAATTTGAGCCCTCTGTGGATTTGCACAAAGGGGACCTTGTGACACATACTCACTTGGGCATATACTCACTCAGTTACAATTTGTGAAAATAATCTATTATGATATATAAAGTGATCTGTTGTTCTTACAATACTGACGTCATAAGAAAATCACCACTTTGCACATTTTATTTATTCCAGACAGCAATGATTTTCCTTTAGTACTTTAAAGTAGACTTTCTTCCCAGAAGTTGTGTAAGAGAAAAACAGAGAGAATAAAATATTGCAGTTTGCTGAACTATTGCAATGAGAAAACATAGTGGAGTCAGAAATTCCGCAAGGCAAGGTGTTGATCATCCTGAACCAGACACCTGCATTAATCACAGCATCCAAAGATGGTGTATTTAAACCTCTGGCTTTTAAAAGTTGCTCAGACAAACTGGTATGATTCTTCAGATACATTTTGCAGGCAGGAAATGTAACACAGTAAATGCTGAGGTGATCTGAACATTCAAAAGGCTTTAATGAGAATACACTTACCACCAGCTAGATGCTGTGTTTCTTTATGTTATTTTAAAGTAGTTGCTTTTGTAAAGTAAGTCTGCATACGGTAGCTCTTTATGTTGACCTTTTGCTTTTTAGAGTGTTTTTTGCTGGCTACTGTTTACTTTTTATCAGTGCATTGCTCTTTTTACAACTCCCTTTTAGTATGAATTTTTATGACAGAATAAAGTACTGAAGTTTTGCCATTAACTTTAGAGGAATCCAGACTGTGCTATTTTTACAAGTTGGCTACCAACACTTTGTGGGGCAACACAAAGTTAAAGCACGCGTGAGAGATACTGAACAGCCCAAAAGTTGACTGATGGGGGTCACTTTTGTGTACTTGTCATAGAAAGAGTGTTGGGCTCAAGCTGGATCTGCATGACTTTACTGGGTCAGATTAATTAAGTCAGTTGCCTAAACATGGCAGTATTGGTCTGCCATTTAACTGGAAATAAAAAGTAGTCCCCAAGTTGACCACCCTTGCCTTATATAAGCGATGTGCATAATAGTTTAATGGGTTTAGTTTTCACATGGTACTTTAGATATCAAGTGTACAATAAAATGTTTTCACACACTGCCAAAAGGTACTGGATGAAAAATATACTTTAGTATTTTATCTGACAAAAAGTTATTATCTATTTTGTATGATATATTACATTTTTGAATAAGAACACTGCTGTAATTTATTGGGAAAAGCTGATTTATTTTATAAACGTAACATTATTTTTGTAAACTTAATTATGAAAAATCAGAAATGATTAGCTTTGTTAAATATTAAATTATAATGAGATATAACTTTATATGTTTGAGCTCTGATACCGAGTTTTTGTGTTGAGCATTTGCAATTGAAATGGTTGCTGGAAATATTTCAAATGGACTGTTTTTCATCAAAGCTCAATAAAGAAAAATGAATGATCCAAATGACACATTTGCCTTTTGGTAATTTTCTTACTATTTACATAAACAATGACAGTGCTTTATATTGCTTATGTTATAAATAAGTATAAAACTAACATGCTTTCATCTCTACAGTATTCACAGCATCACAGAATGGCTGAGGTTGGAAGGAACCTCTGGAGGTCATCTTATGCAAGCCCCCTGCTCAAGCAGGATATTGAAATCATATGAAAGAATATGATGGCAACATTTTAGTTGATTCTACTGTAACATAGCAAAGTATTACATAGCTATGGTTTTCAATTTTTAGTTCTGACTCAGAGGAGAACTGAAGCACATGCTTAATTCCATCTGTGTTTAAAATGAAGCATATGTTCAACAGCCTTTTTTATTTTCTGGACAGGGATAACTTAACAAATCGTTCCCTTTCCTTGCTCTAGTGCATTGTTATTTAGGCTAATTTAGTTGCAACTAAGCAGTTATTTATTTTGTAGATAAAGACTTTGAAAACTTTAGAAAGACTCTTTAAGATATATTTTTTTAGATAACCAGTATGTTCTCAGGCTTGGAAAGTATGTTCAGTCATATGTCTCCTTTGAGTAGATTTTGAATAGAGGTGGGGTTTTTTTTGATTGGGTGGTGGTAGTAACACATTGAACTGGGCTGTTTGCTTTTGCTCATATGTGCTTTACTCTGGAGCACAGAGCTGCAGGGCAAAGCTGCCGTGGGAGGAAGAAAAGACTCCACTTGTGAATGCTGGAGATCTTCAGGTCCCTCTGAGGAACTTGTGTCTGTGGCTGGTTGCTCCAGATGAAGAATTTCTCTGCCCTTTACTTGTAAATGCTGACATGGGTGAAAGAAGTTTATGATTTTAGGGAACAGAAGAGATGGTTTTTTCAGCCTACAATGGAGAAAACATGGAAAACCCCCTACATCTTCAACGCCATGAAGTCCTGGCAGACTCTTCTTTAAGGATTTCCATAAATCAACTTTACAAACAGGTCCAGTAGGTGAATCAGGAGTGTATAATTTACAGAGGGAGATGGATGTATTAACTTTCAGTTCTAATCACTGTACAAAATTCCTCCCAACTAAGGAATTTTGAATGTGAGTGAAGGTATTTGCTGAGTTCCAGGAACCTTCTGTGACAGAAAATTTAACATTCTCAGAATATAAGGAAATTTGTTATAGCTCTTGGTTAATATTTGTATACTTGGCAGTTCTGTTTTCACCTCAAGGATGTCTTTCAGTTTGTGACTCACTAAATTTTTTTATGTCTTTCCAACAGACTATTTCCAGTTGTGCACCTCCAATATTTGTGTAACTTATGCTAAAGTACACAGTAAGCAAATATTTAGCTCCACATTTTACAGTAAGTCTTTCATAAGTCTTCTGTATTGGTTCGCAAAAGCCTACATTTTTCATATTGTCCCTGATGTAGACCCATTAGCTTTCTTCTTTCCCATTATTCTCTCTAGGAAAAAACAAGAAATGAAAAAAAAAATTATTTACCCCCAAATTTAAAGTCATTGTGTTAACAATACAATTGCATTTCCCTCTCTTCTGTTGTTTTTGTAATACAAAAAGAAAGAGAACATAGTTGTCATCAAGGCTGGCATCAATCACTTCTTCCTTCTGGTTCCTTATTGTCTTGTGGCAAATCCAAATATTTTCATTAATTGGAAAGTCTACTTGTAAATAAAGAGCCCTCTATGAGGTCAAAATCTAAATTTGATTACAGAGAGGAGTAAAGTTGCTGATCTGCAGGAAATATATTTTCAAAAATTTCTTCTATAAAAATTAAAATGCATGCCTGATTTCTAATCAAAATAACAAATATTTCTATTAAAGGGTAAGAAACTTGAAGACAGAAATGAAATATAATGATTTACACAGTGAAAGAGAACTTCCATTTTCTGTCACAAGATGGAAAGAAGCAAATCATTCTCTTTGAGTACCAGCATATCTAAAGAGCCTCTAAACAGGATGGGCAAAATCTTATCAAGTTGGAGGAGCAAGCGTGTTACGCCTAAAAGTTGTTCTTATGACAATGATCTCTATTCCTTAATGTTGTGGTGGAGCTACGATTGCTACTGACATTATCTGGTAAGTTCATCTGAGTCAAGTGTCAGTCAAAGATACCACATCAACACTAGATTTCCTGGTGGAGCTGAGAGGGTTGTCACCTCCTCACTAACAGTGTCTGATGTGACAGC